ATAAAATGAATCAACACAGAGAAATATACAAATCTTATACTACTAAAATGACTAACTTAACATAGTAAATAACATAATAAAGAAATAGCTAACATGGTCAAAACAAAGAACGTAAGTCAGGATAGTTTAAACTAATAAATTAAGGCCAAAGAGGTGCGTTTTTAGTGAAGATTTGAATGTTGCAGAAGTGGGTGTCTGTCGTATGAATTTGGGGAGATTGTTCCAAAGGTTTGGTCCAGCAACTGCAAATGATCTGCCCCCATAGAATATAGTATTGGTTTTTGGTACACAAAGTAATGCTTGATTGCTTGAACGGAGGGTTCGGGGTGGGTGATATTGTTTGAGCAAATCAGTCAGGTATGAAGGAGAAGAACTATGTTGAGCTTTAAATGTAATTAATAAGAGTTTGAATATGATGCGCTTATCTACAGGAAGCCAGTGTAGTTTCTTCAGAGTACTAGTTATACTTTGTTGGTGTGGAGTGCGAGTGACCAGTCTCGCTGCAATGTTATCTGAGCATGGAATTCAGTCAATGTTATATGCTGACGACACTCAGATCTACCTGTCTTTCGACCCATCAGAGAGAGCATCTGCCGTTCTTCGAGTGAACAGATGCATAGCTGACATCCGCTCCTGGGCAGGCTTAAACAAGTTAAAAATTAATGACGGCAAAACGGAAGTTCTTCACTTTTCCTCCAGATTCCTCCCAAGAACACCCTCTGTTACGGTAACAGTCGGTGAGTCAGTTATTGAAGCCAAGGCCGAGGCTAGGAACTTGGGAATCATATTCGATGAGCACGCCACTAGGAAATCTCATGTCGCAGGGGTGTGTCGCTCTGCCATGTCATCCATCAGAAAGATAGGTCAAATTCGTAGGGTTTTAGACCGGAAGACAACTCTCACTCTCATCCATGCCTTCGTCACCTCCAAACTTGACACATGCAATGCACTTCTTCCTAATCTTCCTGCCAACGAACTGATGAAGCTTCAAAGAATTCAAAACATCGCAGCCAGAATCACAGAGAAAGCAACTGGTCTCACTTCTACCACATCCATTCTCCGTAACCTCCACTGGCTCCCAATCAACAAGCGGATTCACTTTAAGATCCTACTTCTCACCTACAAGTCTCTCTCTAACTCTACCCCTTCTTATCTGTCTGAACTCATTCACACTTACACACCCTCCCGTGCTCTCAGATCCCAGAACAAACATCTTCTCCAGATTCCTCGTTTTAAGACCCAGTACTACGGCCGTAGCTCCTTCACCTTCAATGCTCCCACCCTCTGGAACTCTCTACCGCTCGCCATTCGAACTGCACCTTCCATCCAGACCTTCAAGACTGCACTTAAGACCTACCTTTTTAAGAATTAGTTATTAATCTATAATTTGAAATTGAAATTGTATATGCCTACAACTTGTAATATATAAATAAAATCTTGAACCATAATTGTTGTATCATTATTTAAGAATGAATATCTATCTAGTTACTGTTATACTATTTTAGTTAAGATCTTGTCAGATTTTTTTTTTTTTGAATTTTTTTGAGGATAGTTCAATAGTAGATGTATGTAATTAATTAAGCTTGTAATACAATGTAAAGCGCATAGAGACATACCTTGTATAATGCGCTATAGAAATATAATTTATTATTATTATTATTATTATGTTCTGTATCATCTGGATCCGGTGAATGTCAATTGCGGGAAGTCCAAACAACAAGCTGTTACAGGAGTCTAATCTGCTTGTTACAAATGCATGCACCAGAGTGAGTGCACCTTGCTTCGAGAGGAAACATCTGATTTTACTTATGCACCTGATTCCTGCCATTGCTGATTTGCAAACAGTTTTTATATGTTCTTTCAAGGTGATGTGCTGGTCAAAGACAACCCCCAAATTTCTGGCACAAGGAACAGGATTAATGTGGCAGTCACCGACATATACACTAGATAGGGTAGGATCTCGACGAAACTTGGATGTGAAATGGATAACTTCAGTTTTGGAATCATTCAAAGACAATTTGTTTTTCATTGCCCAAATCTTCACATCAGTTATGCAGGCTTTCAGCTTCTCTAACGATTCTTCACGTTCACTAGGCTTGAACACGATATACATTTGCGTGTCATCCGCATAAAGCATTACATTTACACCATGAGATGTTATGATGTCTTCCATTGGCGCTGTGTACATTGTGAAGGCAAGGGGCCCGATGACGGATCCTTGTGGAACCCCATGCTTATCATGGTAGGTCTGCGAAGAGGCATTTTTTATCATAACAACATGCGTTCTGTTTTCCAGGTATGAGGAAAACCATCGAAGAGCCCCTCCCCTGATTCCAAAGTAGGATTCCATTCTTTCAAGCAGCAGATCATGGTCAATCGTATCAAATGCTGCACTAAAATCTAGCAGCACCAGTACCGCATCCTGCCGAGCATCTAGAGCCATCAGGAGGTCATTTTGGACCCTGAGAAGCGCTGTCTCAACACTAAAGTGTTCGCGATATGCCGACTGGGCGCTAGGAAGGAGATCATGATCAGCTAGGTATTCCCTGATCTGCCTGGCGACGACCCTTTCTACCAGCTTTCCAACAAAACTGAGATTCGCTATAGGCCGATAGCTCGATACATCATCATGAGGAAGACCATCTTTCTTAAGTCTAGGTTGGACAATTGCATGTTTCATGCATGCAGGCACCTCTCCTTTCTGTAAGCTGGTATTCACTATTTTGACAAGAACTGGGGCCAGACAAGATCCCAATAAACAGAACACCAAAAAGTAACCTCTTTTGGGAGTGTATTTTAAGTGATTCTAAAGTATAGGGCCTTTTGAACTAGATTTAAACGTTATCGACACGTGCCTTCATTTAAACAAAAAAGGTACTCCTGTTCACGTTTTCATCTAACCTAAAAACCACCAGTTTATCACGCGACTGGAGTAACGTGATTCCACTTACCTCTGTAAATCAAGTGTTTATGACCAAATAACCACTTGACCAAGCAACGAGTTTTTTGTCAGTTAACCGATGGTGGCGATAAATACGTAATTATTTGGTCTTGTAAGCACCTTTATTGATTGGTTTCACAGGTTATCCAAGGTTTATGGTAATAATCACGTTACTTACACCGGCTAATCGTCTTATTGTTCTGTCCGTGAATCTCTGGTTATATTCAACTAGTAATTCTGAGGTGTCTTACACACCTCTTTAAAAGGTTTCAAAGTTACCATAAATATCTTGGTTATGATCACGTGGCTCAAGCTGATTACTAATCTGAGCTGTGAAAACGTGATACGTAGGTGTGAAAATTAGTAATTATTAAGTGTTTTAAAACACCTTTTTAAATGGTAGTCAAAGTTGCCAGCAGTTCCGCGGTGATGATCTCGTGACTCAAACGGAATATTAATCTAAGCAGGGCATACGTGACTTTTAGGTGTGAAAAATTAGTCATTATTAGGTGTCTTAAAACACCTATTTAAATGGAAGTCTAAGTTGCCATAAGTTCCGCGGTGATGATCTCGTGACTCAAACGGATTATTAATCTAAGCTGGGCATACGTGACTTTTAGGTGTGAAAAATTAGTCATGATTAGGTGTCTTAAAACACCTCTTTAAATCGTAGTCAAAGTTGCCAGCAGTTCCGCGGTGATGATCGCGTGACTCAAACGGATTATTAATATAAGCTTGGTATTCCGTGTTTTCCATGTGTGAAAATGAGTTATTCTTGGGTGTCTTGATGGTTTCACAGTTACCATTTAAGTTCCGTGGTGATAATCCCGTGACTGTTGGCATATTTCTATGTTCACCAGTTGATAACTGACTGTTGGCATGTTTTCATTGCACCAGTTGATAACTGGAGTGTGCATATTTCCAGTTGCAGCAGTTGATGACTGAGCGTTGGCATATTTCGAGTTGACCCAGCTGACACCAATTCATTTGCATATTGAATATGGGGTGCGTGCAGATCTATGTTTTTTAAACAATTTATCTGAATTTACAGCATATTTCTTAATTACTGATGATTTAGTTATATGCAATTCATTTCGAAAATACTACAAATATAAATTACCAGTTATTAGGACATTTCGCTACTTCGTATAAATAGTTAAACATGAATAAGGGAAACATTAACTGTGAACTAAAATAATTTCGATAAAGTACAAGTATACGATTTTTTTCTCGATTAATTCAACTATGTAAGTCTACTTATTACCAATGCCCTTACATTGGAAATACAGACGTACCAGTATTGAAGTATTGTTGCTGTTCAACTGGTTGGAAGTTTTACCAAATGGTTCTAATGGCTCAGCTAGACCAGTTGAATTATAACTGGCCTGGATCAACTGGATCATTTAGGCCATTTCAATTTCCAGGGTTACCAGTTGGCATTAAATGGATCATCAACTGGACCAGTTGCAACTAGCTTTCTCTTCTGGGATGTTTGCACCCCCCCCCCCCACCTAACCCCCTCTAATCCCAAACTGCTTCCGGCGCGCCTGGACGTAATTATGGAAGATCCAAGACACGATGTTCAGAAACGGGATGAGAACGTCATTATTTTGGTTCATTTATTGTGTAACATTTGCGTAATTATTGGGTTTGACCGCGGGTTACAGTAACATACTTCCTCTTCGACGTAAATTTCACGTGAATGTAGAACATGATTCATCTCAAGTCAGCCTCGTAATATTCACGTGAATTTCACGCAGATATTTTGACTAAAACTATCACTAACGCTTCACGTGTTTCTGTGAAGCGATAATTTCGTGTATGAAGATGTAATTTCATAACCAAACAAACACGGGAGTATTAGGTTTACAAACCATGGTCTCCAAGGTAGGGATAATCACGTTATTATAATGGTGATATTGCAGTGACAATTATTGCGTGATTTAGTGTACGTGTGTTTTAAGTTACCTAATGCAATAAACGTATGTCCGGTGTTTAAAGAACGTAACTCTCCTCAAGTCGATACCTTGATATTAACGTGATTTTCACGTGATTTTGTTTATTGGGATATCACCTTCTTAAGTAGAGACGTAGGTATCGGGTCCAAATCACAGTAAGAATTGGATGTTCCCTTGACGATGTTGACTAATTCATCCTCAGACACTGTGTGGAACTCAGTCAGATACGAGGAGCACCGATCTTTGACTGGAACTGACAGGTCCTCAGAGATGGATGCATCTAGCTCCTGCCGTATACGCTTGACTTTTTCATCGAAGAAACTGCAGAACGACTCTGCAAGCTGGCCAGGAGAGTCATGGCATGGCAGTATTTGGCTAGAAGCATGTGGTGATGAGAGAGTCCGAACCATTCGATACAAGCCTCGTTGATCACGATAATCGATTTTCTTGAGAAAGTAGTCCTCTTTTGTCTGACGAAGAAGAAATAAATAGGACTTGCACTTCTCCTTGTAAATGTCCTTGTGAATTTGAAGGCCAGATTTGTAAACTGCCCTTTCAGCTCTTCTCCGCTCTTGCTTGGATCTCCTGAGGGCGTCCGAGTACCATGGAGCTTGCGGTCTAAGGATGAACTCCTTCTCCTCGAGCGGTGCATGCTGATCTAACAACCTCTGCATCTCCTCGTTATATAGGTCAGCAAGGTCACCACATTCATCCAGAGAATCTGTGAATAGTTGTGACTTCTGAATGTCCTTCTGAAAATCCTGTTGATCAATGTCCTTGCATTTCCTTAGGACCACTGTACGTTTGACAGGAAGCGGTCGTGCAAACGACAAGCCACATATTGCAGACCGATGATCAGAGGGTAGAGACGAATCAGTCGATGATGTCAACACAAGATCATCACTATCTCGAGATATGACGAGATCAAGTGTGTGACCACTGGAGTGCGTGGGGCTCTTTATGTGGTTGTGAAGATTAGCAACATCCAAAAGACTGAGAAACCTCTGAGCATCAACATTATTCGGGTCATCTACGTGAACATTAAAATCACCGACTATCAACAGCCTCTGATGGTTGATGCAGAGCACCTCAACCAAAGTAGATAATTCATTGAAGAAGGTACTTAAAGTCTCTCTCTTCCTAGCAGAGGACGGTGGTCTGTAGATGACAACAAGACGAAGATCCGTCGATCCAGATGACCTTAGCATCAGGTCAATATGCTCAAAGGACTTAAAGGTGAATTCCCGATTTACACTCACTTTGAACCCTTTATGTAGCAAAACACCAACCCCACCTCCTTTTCCGCTAAGACGAGGAGAGTGGTGGAATTCAAAGTTCGGCAGAGTTGTCCTAATGTCGGCAAGGGCACGATTATCACGATCTGAGTTAGTAAGCCAAGTCTCCGTGACAGCAAAAAAATGGAGCTGTTTTGATATCACAAAGTCACATATGGCAGTAGACTTTCCGCGGGCCTTCACTGAACGTGCGTTCCAAATTGCAAAATTAGTAAAGGAGTTTGAGTGTGGAACCATATTTCTTTGAATGGTTATTACTTCCCGATTTTCATTAAATGGTATCCCAAGTTCATGTTTCGAGTATCGGATATCTCTATTTTTCATCTGATGTATGCGGGGGCGGATGATAACTGGAATCTGTTGTTGTTCAAACTCACTTACAGTTACACATTCTTCTTGAAAGGAGGGATTGTGTTCACATTCAATATCAGTATGATCGGTAGGAGGCATATTTTTCTTCCTTTTGCTTGATTGACCCTTAGAACCACGATGGGTTTTGCGCTTTTGTGCGATTCCCAGGCTATGGATCCTATTCCAGACATCATAGTCCAGTAAAACCTTATGTGTGTTGCTGTATGCAGCTCTATATCCATGGTACTGGTGATCTGCTGGAATAGTTAAGTTACATTCTGACGGTGTCACATATAACTTTTGTCTATTAGCTTCAGGGGGTGGGCCAGGATTAGGGTCGACATCTCCGCAACTTATTAGAGATATCTGGAAAGTTGATGTACAGTTCGAGTAGTATGGCAAATGTGCTCCAAAGTACTTGAGTACTTTTACTTTAGTAGTAGGGAATGCACTGCCACATTCATGATAAGATGTATAGCAAGTCCATGAAGGGTCCTCCCATTGATTCAGTGAGCAGAACAAAGATAAAGTCAAACTAAGAAGGGTTAAATACCTCAACAAATGCATTGTCATCGCAAAGCCCCTTTCACATTGGTAGCAGTGAATAGAAGGGTTTCCCTTCACATGGGTAGATAAGTAGATGAAGACAGTGCAGTGTACAATGTTGACCACTGGCTATAATGTAGTATGTGGTATGTAGAATGGCTACTCAAAACCAAAGAGTCAGTTTCCAAAAACATGAAAACTGGAAATGAGTTCCATAGATGACTTCATAGATCATAACTATTGTCCAGCACGATCCTTGTCATCTCCACAAAACTTGGTTACACAAATGGCAAGATAATCTTAAGGAAAACACATCAAAATCGAGTTCAAAGTAAGAGCAAGGAGGGGCAACCTTCTCAGGTGCACGCGCTCGTTAATTAACAATTGAAATTTTATGCCTCGTCATCTACCCCATGATTTGTTCTTCCTCACAGATTCAACGGAGGAAGCGACTACCAAGCCTATGACGAGCCCTTCGACTACGATGACGGAACGCTCAGACACAACGACTTCTCAAAGCATCACTACTTCTGGTATGTCTAGGCAATAGCTTCATAGAAATGACGTCATGCATTTGATTTTTATCATAATGGGTCTAGCCACTATATTTCCCCCTTTTTCTCTCTCCCTCTCTCTCTATCTCTCTCGGTCTTTGTCTGACCTGATATACCTCAGTTAAGGAATCCAGCCATCTGATTGGTCGAAATTGGAGTCGTGATTTTAGCCATTCCCGTAAAGAAACAAAAAATGCCAATACCGGTTAATAGTCCAAGAGTGAGATCCCTCAAAATTTCGGTTATCATGAAAATAGTAAAATTTTGCTGCGATAGCCACTGTGGTTTAAGTGTTAAAATTTCCTTTGTGCGACGCGGACACCGCTAAACAAAGATAAACAGACAGTTTCTCAGATTTTCCGTGATGTTTTAACCGATCTTTACTCAATAAAAGAATAAGGTAAGAATTCTTGGTAGATTTTTGTTTCAATTCAGCATAAAAGACATAACAACTGCTTTAATATTCGAGGTCTGGCTGATGTATAGGCTCTCGAGAGCTTGCACATCTTGAGCCTATTTTACAGCCAGTTTAACGACTGAAGCAGTCGATATCTCTATACTATTTTTCGGTCCTTTCCGGGCGTCACTAAAACATTTTTCTTAAGAAGGGGGGGGGGGGGGAGTGACCGTCTATAAAAGTTCTTATTTTTATAGTCTTATTTTTATTTGTCCTTCTTTCAGGAGCGTCGCTAAAACACTTTAGGAGCGGGCAGTGTACGTTAATTATTTAAATATATATTTAACGAAAACGTTCTTGATGCTCTTATTGTTCTTCTTCCCTCTTCGCACATTCTTTGTCTCTATTTGTCTGTTTTTGTTATCATTTCCTGACTCCAGCTCCCTTTTCCCCACTCAATTTAATACATTTTTTTTCGTTCAGAATGAGAAGCGAAAACCAAGTCCGCGACGAGCCCAACGGCCACAATGCCGGAACAATCAGATGCAACGCCATCGCAAGAAACCACAACTTCCACTAAGAGAAACATTGAAATGACGTCATGTGATTAATATCACTATGGCCCGAATTCACAAAGGAGGTTTCCCGTCTAATTCTTTTCTTCACGCATTTAACAACAATTAGACACGCTATATCAATACATTTAGATAAATGATTTGGCAAAATAAGACCCTTCGACTTTGTCAAAGCACCACTAAATCCAATGTCCCGACACAAAATATACAGTCCTCATAAAATAAATAAACTGATAAAGTTTATTTTTTAAAATGTTCTTCGTTTTGGCCTTCTATTTCTGTTGAGGTGTCATTCCTAATGTTATTACTTTGAACGTGTGGCTTCATTTTTTATAAACGTTTCAGAGTCAGTGAAATCATCGACTATGGACGTGGCGACCAAGACATCTACGAGGCCTATTACCACGGTGTCAGACACAACGACATCGCCAGAAACCACCGCCTCCAGTAAGTAAGAGAAACAATGAAATGATGTCATGCTTTTGATCATTATTATAATGTGTCAAGCAACTACACCTTCCCTCTCTCTCTCTCTCTCTCTCTCTCCCCCTTTCTCTCTTTCCACTCCCCCTTCACCACCCTCACCCCTTCATCGACCACTCCCTTCACCCCTCCGCCTATCTCTCTTTCTTCTTCTCTCTTTCAGTCTTTATCTTCTTTTATCCTCTTCACGCGTTCTTTGTCTCTGTCTGTCTATATCCAAATCATTCCCTGACTCCGGCTCCCCCCACTCATTGAACAATTTTGTCTTTGTTTTTTATTCCGTTCAGATTCAGTGAAAACGGAAGCCAAAACCAAGTCCGAGCCGAGCCCTACGATCATGATGCCGGAACAATCAGAGGCAACGACATCGCAAGTAACCACAACCTCCAGTAAGAGAAACAACTTTCCCCCTTCTCTCTCTCTCCCACTCTACCCTCTCCCACTCTACCCTCTCTCTCTCTCTCTCTCTCTCTCTCTCTCTCCCTTTCTCTCTTTCCACTCCCCCTTCACCACCCTCACCCTTCATCGACCACTCCCTTCACCCCTCCCTACGATCACGATGCCGGAACGATCAGAGGCAACGACATCGCAAGTAACCACAACCTCCAGTAAGAGAAACAACTTTCCCCTCTCTCTCTCCCACTCCACCCCTCTCTCTCTCTCTCTCTTTCTCTCTCTCTCCCTCCCACTCCACCCTCTCTCTCTCTCTCTCTCTCTCTCTCTCTCTCTCTCTCTCTCAGTCTTTATCATATTCATATTCAAATTTATTGTCCAATGGTTGGAAATTTGTTTCATTTGCATGTCAGTACAAGATTACATATTATAAACATTAATAAGATACAGATGGATACAGAGTAGGACACTTAACTTGAACATAGGTAACAACAAATGCGATAGTTCAACATGCAGATTAAAATTCGATTCATAATTCAGACTAAGTAGTTAAATTCCATTCATAGTTCGGATAAAATTAAATTCGCAATTCAGATTAAATACAATTCATAATTCAGACCAGTTCAATTCGTAATTCAGATCAAATCCATTTCAAATCCCGATCACATTCAATTCGTAATTCAGATTAAAATAAAATTAACAAAATCAAATCACATTCAATTTATAATTCAGACTAAGTAATTAGATTAAAATCATAATTCGGGTTAAATTAAATTAACAATTCAGATTCAATACAGTTCATGATTCAGACAAATTCAATTCATATTTCAGAAAATAATTCAATTCAGATCCCGATCACGTACAATTCATAATTCAGATTAAATTAAATTGACAATTCAGGTTAAATAGATTCACAATTCAGATTAAGTACAATTTATAATTCAGATCAATTCAATTCAAAATTCAGATCAAATCCATTCCATTCTCTATCCTGTCACGGGCGTCGCTAAAACCAAGTCCGAGCCGAGCCCTACGAACAAGATACCGGAACGCTCAGAGGCAACGACATCGCAAGTAACCACAACCTCCAGTAAGAGAAACAACTTTCCCCTCTCTCTCTCTCTCTCTCTCTCTCTCTCTCTCACTCCACCCCCTCTCTCTCTCTCTCTCTCTCTCTTTCTCTCTCTCTCTCTCTCTCTCTCTCAGTCTTTATCTCTATCCTGGCACGGGCGTCGCTAAAACCTTTTTTAAGGGGGAGGTAGCCGTCTTATTCGTTCGCCCACGAGTTAAATGACAACAAACACATTTAGATAAATTATTTGGTACAAATTTACTTGGGCTTTCACAAAGCACCACTTAATCTACAAACACAAATATTACCACATAAAATGAATAGACTGATTAAATTTATATGTTATCATGGAGCAGAATTTTCTTCGTTTTGGTGTTCTACAGTGCGTCCCAGAAAAAAACGAAACCGAGAAGTATCGATGTTCTATCATAGCTTAATCACAACTATAATTAATGAATGATTCATATTTGGAAAGCGTAGAGTCTCCTCTTTCATGTGATGCTACTCAGATGATGCATATTTCACGCATGAGTGATTAAAAGCAATTTGAGGGAAGGAAACCAAAAAGACATTTGGCGGGCGGTATCTGAATTTCGAAGAAAAATTCACATTTCTAGAATGTTGAGTTTCTGCCCTTTCATATGACACCTCAATCAGGAAAAATGAGCGAGGAATGACAAAGTTCTGTTTGTTTAAAGTAGTGCTTGCATTTCCATAATTTTATTAAACGAATTCGTTTTCACCTGCTGCCTGCCGTATCAATAAACGAAATTAACAAAAGACTTAACTCCGTTTCGTTGACAATCAGCCGTAGACGAGAGTCTTCATGCATGGCTGATTGTGAACGAAACGGAGTTAAGTCTTTT